AGACTGTCCTAGATCCATCTGTAATACCACCACACATGGTGTAGCAGTAGAGTCATCTGTTCAGTGTTTGAGTCCCTGTGAGATTTTTTAGTTTTACTAGGGCCAGATAAGAACTAGGTATTAACATCTCTGGAACCCCAAACTGGCACAGAACCTAGTGCATAATATTTGTGAAGTTGGAAGGGGAGAAGGAAATTCAGTCACGACTAAGTATTCTGATGTGCCAGGCACTGGACTCTCCATTTGCCTTCTCTTCTACCTACTGTGGCCTCTGAGGTGAATCTGCGGTCTTACCTGTCTTGCAGATGAGGAAACTGAAACTGAAACTACAGGGAAAAGTGACAAAGCTGGGATTTGAACCCATCTGCCTGCACTATGCTTTTAACCCCAGTTTCATTTTCCTCATCTGAAAAACAGAAAAAAAATACCATTTTTTTTTTAAGATTTATTTATGCATACAACAGCTGGGGTACAGGCCAGAGATGCGGGGGTGAGAGGATTCACCAGAGACAGAGTAGGAAACAGAACAGGCAGACTGATGGAAATACACTGCTGAGGGGAGCAGCGGTCGAGACAGGAGAGGTCTGCTGCACCATGTGGGTTGCTCCCTGGCGGCAGGGGATTGAACTGGTGTTGCAGTGGCTGCAGACAGCTTCATAGGTGCGTCTTAACCTCTTGCGCCACTAGGGAGGCCCCAAAATACTGTTGATAAGATTCCTTTGATGATGTAATGACATTGCTCTCAGGACGCACTTAGCACAGTACCCAGCAAGCCTCAGTAGCTGTTAGTTCTTGTGAGTGATGGGCACAAGCTCCCTCAGCTAGCAGGGGGCAGAGGAGACATTTGAACTCAGGGCTCTTTGCTAACAGAACTGTGTTCCTAACTGATGCTCATGGACCACACCAGCCTTGAAAAGCAGTAATAATAGCTCAGAGGCATCTTGTCAGTAGCAGAAGCTCCTGCAGTTTCTTTCCAGGAGTTTCTGGGGACGTTGGAGCAGATGGAGGGAGAACACCCTCCACCCATCCCATGGAAATCACAAGGCCAACATGGTAATTGTCCAGTGGCTTGACAATTTAGAACCCCACCCAGCAAACATTAGGATATTACAGCACCCCGTTAGGCTCCGGCGCTAATTATTTACTCCCTCAAGGAGAAGGAAAGGGATTCAGTCCCTGAATCAGCAGGCTGCTCTCATGGGGCCTCTGGCAATCATTCCTTCACCCATGTGAACCCCTCCTCAAGCTTCAAAAGACTCAGTTATAACTTCCCCGCCTCCCCAAGCCTTCAGGAACACAAGCCTTTTTAAACCTTCTGAGCAAGGCCAGTGTTGTAGATGAACACTGGGTGATGGATTCCCTGTAAAATATGCTTGCTTAAAGGGCTAACTTTTTTTTTAAGTTTATTTATTTATACATACAAGAACTTGGGTACAGGCCAGAGGGGAGGAGGTGAGAGGATTCACCAGAGACAGAGTGTGGAGCAGAACAGGCAGATTGACTGAAGTACACTGCTGAGGGGAGCAGCAGGCAAGACAGGAGAGGTCTGCTGTGCCATGTGGGTTGCTCCCTGGCCGGGGATCGAACTCATGCTGCAGAGGCTGGGGACAGCTTCATAGGTTGTGTCTTAACCCCTTGCGCCACCAGGGAGGCCACAAAGGGCTAACTTATTAAGGCGTCTGTATTCATGGATTTGGTAGCCAATTCCTATACAAATTTGGGACAAACAAAAAAATATATATTTTTCATTAAGAGAACATGAATTATTTAAAATACATGAATTTTTTAGTTATTAATCAGACTGATGTGATTATTGGATGATAACTTAGAAAAAAATATTTTAAATTAGAGTCATGTGTGTGAGGCTGGTTCTAGTAGTAACTAGTCAGTGAGAGAGGATATACACTGAATTTATTTTGAGGAATATTATTTTAAAAAATTGAGTACATCTTTATAAATTTTTGAGAGAGAAATATCAACAAATTCCACACTTTTCACCACTCGCACCCCACATACACACACGTAGAGTGAATAAAACAGATTTGCAGCAAAGCTGAATCATTGTCAAATTAGTTGCAGTTAACTCCCTGCTTTCAGTTCTTTGTACATTTGAGAAGACAGAGGATCCTGGTTTGTCCTCGCCTTTTTCTCTCTGCCCAAACAAAATCAGAATTCCCAGCAGCAGTTGGCAAGCCATATTAACACATTAGCCTCATCTCTCTACCTTGTAACCTCTTGGTTGACATTATCCCACAAAACTACACTGCAGAGCCTCCCTGGTGGTGCAAGGGGTGAAGCACCACATTATGAAGCAATCCTCAGCCTCTGCAGCACAAATTCAATTCCCGGCTGGCCAGGGAGGTACCCACATGGCACAGCAGACCTCTCTTGTCTCTCCCACTGTTCCCCTCAGAAGTGTATTTCCATCAGTCTGCCTGTTCTGTTCCCCGCTCTGTCTCTGATGGATCCTCTCAACCCCCACATCTCTGGCCTGTACTGCAACTTTTGTATTCATAAATAAATAAATCTTTAAAAAAAAAATCATGCTGCACACGGGTGATACCGGATGGGGGCGCTGCAGCCCACCCCAGCTTTCTAGCTCTGGAATCCCACCAGGCTCTGCTCTCCAGTCTTCTCTGGAAAGCCAGGGGTGTGTGCCTGTGGGCCTTGCTTGTCCATACGCCTGGGTGCATGTAATAGCCCAACCGTGTATGTTTTTACCAGCAATAAAAATCCAGTAGGGAAATGACGCCTGGGTGCATGTAATAGCCCAACCGTGTATGTTTTTACCAGCAATAAAAATCCAGTAGGGAAATGAATGCTCAAATTAGATTGTTTGACCTTTGACAAGATCTCCTCAGTTGAAAAACATGTTTATCTCTATAGCTGAGCAGATTTTGCTAAAATCAAAATGAAGAACCTTGTTTACTGGTGTAGCAGATTGGGTTTTGAAGAGATTCCACTGAATTCTCTTTGAAAGGATGTTGATCTAGAAAGTTCTGGCACAGTTGCTCTGTTGTGGTGTAGCTGTTGTTTTCTACCCTATGCTTGTTATAGGAGGGACCAATGGGCCCTGGACAACTGTATCTTCTGGATGGGCAGGTGTATGGATAGACAAACAGGGGAACTGACAAGAAGACAGTGTAATTCTTCTTGCCATATATTTTAGAAATTATTTGTTGATATTTAAGAGAAAAAATAAACCTATAACTGGTGTCCTAAGCCTGCCCAATGAAGCCTTTGGGCTTTAGTCACTCAAAATCAATATTTAGTAAACACTTAGTATGTGCTAGGCACATGGGGTAGAGATTTGAACAAAATAAGAACAGCACCTGCCTTCAAGGAACTTCCTATCTAGTGTGGGAGATGAGCATTAGAAAGTAATTCTGCTCATAGTTATGTATTTCTAACTATAATCACTGGTTGTTTTTTAATTGAGCGATTATACACCATATACATCTTAAAGTGTACAAATCAGTGGTTTTTAGTAATATTTACAGAGTTTTTTTTTTTTTGTTTTTTTTTTTTTGAAGGATATGGTTGAGTAGAAACTTGAGTCTGGTTACAGAGTTTTGCTGGCGCAACTACAATTGATTTGACTAGCAGCAACAGACTTTCCATCATGTCGGCATTGCACCATTGGTGGTCATTGATGTCATAAATGGGGGCAAGGAGGGGACATGAGAGAAGTTCAGTTCAAACAGAGCATCCTGGAAGTGGCCTAAAGGCCAAACTGGAAGCTCCTTTCCATATAAGGTGGCTCCAGTGAGAACTTTCATTTCCACCGCAAACTTGAACTCACTGGTTCTGGGCAACCTTCACAGCATCTTATAATTCCACTTTTCTAAGATTGTATTCCAGGAATCTCCACTCGTTGGTCTTATTATTACATATGACTTGACTTGAAATATAAACCATTTGCATTTTCAGACACCTTACATATTTATCTGATGAATTAAGCCATTTGTTTTCTGGTTCTGCTTGAGTTTTGCTTTGCCTTCCTGTACTCTGAAGATAGTGTGTGGGGGCCGGGTGGGGAGGGCAGTAATGACCCACACAGTCTTCTTTATGGGTATTCTGAAGAACCAAGTTAGATAAGGTGAAGTGACTTTGGACCTGAGCTACCTCCTACTGGTCACTGAGGTCTAGTGATGGACAGTCAGTCATCTATACGGAAAGTTCCAGGAGTACCCCCCCCACACACACACAATATTGATTTCATCAAAAGAAAACTTTGTGGTGTTACCCAGAGATCAGGAAAATATAACTTAACATTAGTGTTATTCAGAGAATTTTGTGACTGTGCCCTTAAGTCATGAGTAAATATCTAAGGTGACATTCACCATTGTAGGTCCTTCAAGATGATGACAAGCCTAATAATCAGTCTTCCATTTTATAGTCTTAAGCAAGTTGCAGAAAACGCTGATATTCCTTAACTCTCTAAATCTTGTGTCTGCCTTATGATGCAGGAAGGCTGTGATATTCCTACAATTTTGATTAAAAAAAAAAAAAAAACCCAGAACTCAGGAGAGAGACTTGCTTGTGATGTTAAAGGTGGTTGCTCTATCTTTTATTTCTCCTTCCCTTGAAAGCTTGCCTTTCTCCACCACACTGTTCTGTAATATTTTCCCCTATGATTTGCTAATTACTTGTCAGTTTCATTCACATTACTTAGGTAAAACACCTGCTTGAATAATTGCTGACATTCAAAAGAATGTCATGAATACATCTGACAGTTAATTTTATTCACTAGTTCCCTTCTGCTTCATAGATTCCTGTGAGTTTGGGTTAATTAAGCTGAGTTCTATTTTTGCCAGCAAGCCAGTGATCCTTTGGATTGAATCTGCAGCTGCGTTATCCCTGTGATCAGTAACTGCCTTGGGAAAGCCTCCATTCCTTCCCACTTAGAACACAGGACAGCCATGCTGGGCCTCTGGATATGAACAACAAGACTATATGCTTTTGACAGACATTTGCATCATCCTGTTCTCCTCTTAAAGGTACATGACCGATGGTGGACTTGGCCTCTACACCCGTCGCCTGAACCGACTCCCTGATGGGATGGCTGTGGTGCGGGAGACGCTGCAAAGAAATACCTCCCTGGGCCTTGGAGATGCTGACAGGTAAGCTTGATTTGCTTGGGGTTGACTTGAATGCAGAGATCATTCCAGAGTGGTCTGAGAAATAAGAGTGATGATATTAAGAGCAGATGGGTGCTGTTGTAGCCCCCATGGAAGCCGGGAGGCCTGGAAGCTGTGCTTGGCATTGAAAGCAGACACAGTAGGGAGGAAAGGGCTACTGAAAGCTTCTTGGCTAGCTTTTGAGTAGGTGGTACTTCTGACATCAAGCACACAGGGAACTTAGTCATAGGTAGTTTTTGTTGTTGTTTTGACTATTACTACTGCATCTTCATCAGTTTCAGCAGGCCCCCTGGGTATGCTTTACTTCCTCTCATTAGCCAGCTTTCGAGGTATTGCGCCTTGGAACTGCGTCCCTGGTGATGTGCTGAAGAGAACACTCTAGACCTTGGCTAAATAGGCTTTACCTTAAGTCTCCTGTTACCTGGGGATGGGAGGCAAGGAATAGGGATGAAGGTTTATGTGCCACCAAGTAAGTGGTCAACATTAAAAAGCTTCTGAAAACACTACAGTGAAAAAGAGTCAATATTTGGCTTCCAAGTTTCTAGTCTTTACTTTCACCAACACACTGATTCTGTAACCATGAGCAATTGATTAAAGGGGATTGGACTATACTGTTTCTAAGCTCCTTCCCCACTCTGAGGTGCTATATTTCTAGATTTCAGTACCCTTTAATGCTGTGATTGTTAAAGGATTTTCTGTCCTATTTGACCTCTTGTGCATCTGGATTGATGAGACAGTGTGGAATTTAGATGTGCAGAGTTAGAAGTCACTGCTATTTTTTTTTTGTGTGTGGGGAGGTTGCCAGACCTGGCGTGTCAGAAAGCTGAGTGTTTGTAACACAAGTACAACTTCTGGCTGTTCTCTGGCTTCAGAGAAGCAGGACAGCATAGTAAGGAGACCGACATTAGCGTCACCCCCAGAAATGGCTTTACTAAAGAATAATCTTTACCTTCTGTCAGGGAGGATTGGACAGCTTGAGCTGGGTGGAGAGCACTAAACTGGTTGTTAGGAACTAGGGATCAGATCCAAACGCTGCCATTAACATGAATGTCTTTCTCAGAGACACCCCTAGTATTGAGGGTGCTGATCTATATCAGAGAGGACAAAAGGCTTTCCACTGCAAGCGTGGTTTTTCCCTGATGATTAATATGGCTTGCAGGCTCCACAGAAAGATGAACCATTTGAGAACTGCTCTTTCTAAGTCCAAAATTCTCTGTAAATAAAATCATTAGAGTCAATATTACCAGGGAAAAAAATCAGTGTTGCAACACCCCCAATGGACATTTCACAATTTGCCAAATTATTTTGCTGGTTTGTGTTCCCCTTTAAACATGTCATTGGTTAGTAAATCTATTAGCATAAAATGCAAGCCTTACAAGGTACATTTCCCCCATAGCAAAAGAAGAATCTGTGCTAGGCAGTTTAATTTAATGCTTCATTGCAGGGTTAATGGAATTATAATAGATCACAGCTGAGTTTGTTTCTGCTTTAGAGATGGAAGATTTGGGTGGGGACTGGCAGAGGCATAGCATGTGTTATTCCATTTCAGTATGGACGGTGGGGGCAAGTGGGCAGCAGTGTCTTCTGGTTCTCCCCAGACTGGGATAATCAGACGTAAGCATTATTTAAGACTGAATGGGTAGCTGATCAAATGTTAAAGAAATAATTCAGGTCACTTAAAAAAATAATTTAATAATTCTTGTAAGTTTCCTATTTTATATGTTTTGACCCGTAGGCACTGAGATATTTTGCATTGTTCTGAAATATGGTAAACTTCTTTAATCCCCAAAGTTATTATAAAAACACCATAGTAATGCTTCATCTGTGGTTAAGCTGAAGTAATAATGGATTCATTTTTATAAAGTTCTTCATGTAACTCTTCTCTAAAAACAATATTTTCCCCCAAAATGGGAGGCTAATATTAGTAGTAGCAGAAATTATTTTGGACTTTAGGCAGAGAAATATTTCTTTGTAACATTTAAATTTTAATATTTTGGAGCTAGCACATCAGACCTGTGATTTTACAAATACTGCTTAGGGTAAGGGTAGTGTAGGCTTGAGAGAATTTAATGTGAATTATCAAGGAAGAAAGTCACAGATGGTGTGCAGATATGTGTACATGGAAGTATGCAAATGACTGCAGGTAAGGTAGTCCTACTCTTGCCCCTATTGTTAGAACTATATCCTTTTTTTTCCTGTCCCTTTTATTTGGGTAATAAGTCATAGGCAATTCAATATCAAGTTTTCTTAAGACTGTAAATGTAAATTGAGATTACGTGCTTCTGATGAGTCTACTACATCAGAAAAGTAGATGTGCTTATATAAAGTGCAGATATTTCAATGCTACTATATAGAAAGTATTTTTCTTCATTTATAAATTAGATCTGTACAGGTAGAATGTTAACATATTGGTGAGAAGAAACTTAATAATCATTTAAGTCTGTCCCTCCTCATAAGGCTCTTTTCCTCTACGCCATTATCTGGGGAGACTTCCAAGACCACAGTGTTTGTTGATTATTGTTTTAGAACATATATCTTCCAGTGTACATTTAAATATCTCATATTCTTTATCCAAATGCATCATCCAAATGATTTTTACTGCATTGGAATCAAACATTGCTGTTTATATGGATTCATTTTATTAGGCATTAGCTGGAAATAACTAGGTTGATGAACTAACAGACTGATTTCAACTGTTTACTTCCCGTTTTACTCAGGTCATACGTTCTAATCCTAACATGCATCTAATGCTGACATTGTGGCTTATTTTGTATCAGATACCTGTATTTTGACCTTTTTTTAATCATTGATTTTATTATGCCAAAAATACGTGCTCATGGTAGAAGACTATGCTCCTTATATAATTTTAGTGAAAAAAATGCAAAGGACCCAATACCTTTCCAGAATCCCCCCCCCCCACCTGGTTCCCCTTTAACCTGCAAAAAAGAGTCCCAGAGCTGTGATATTTCCCGGAATTTCTTTATTAAAAAATATATATGTGTATATTTTAAGGATTTTGAGTGCTTAAAACAGAGGTTGCATGAGTTCCACTAAGCAACTAGGAAAAGTACTAAGAGATAACACTTGACTCGACTTCGTAAGCAGAGCCAGTCACCTTACCGTGGAGAGTGGAGAATCATTAACCTCACAGTGCAAGCCCAGAGAGCAGCCAGCCCAGGGGAGGCCCACAAGGACACTGACTTACCACACAGACCCTGGTTGTTTATGACAGGATGTGGTTGGGGTACCTTTAGGGTTATTAAAAGTAACTGACAGGAATGTGTACCTTCAGAGCCTAGGATGTAGGGAGGGACCATGTCAGTTTGGGAGTCTCGTATGTCACCAGTCAGCTTCCAAGAAATAATAAATGACACTAGTAAATTCAAAATGCCAAGTCTGCCCTTGATCACCTGTCGCTCTTCAGGGTTGCCACCCCCAGGGTCCAGGGTTTATAGGATAGTCAGCAGCGGCTACATCCAGCAAGCTAGAACCCGCTGCCTGAAAAGAGGACATCAAAAGAGACAAATGGGGGGCCTACCTGGCTGCTCAAGGGATTAAACATCAGTACTATGAAGCAATATGCACCTACTGCAGCATGAGTTCCATCCCCGGCCAGAGAGCTACCTACATGGCGCAGCAGACCTCTCCTGACTTGCCCTCTGCTCCCCTCAGCAGTGTATTTGAGTCAGTCTGCCTGTTCTGCTCCCTACTCTGTCTCTGGTGAATCCTCTCACCCCCCACACCCCTGGCCTGTGCCCCAGTTCTTGTATGCATAAGTAAATAAATCTTTCAGAAAAAAAAAAAAGAGAGAGACAAATGGAAGTGGCTTCTTATAAGTCATAGGGCCCAGATAACAAACAAATATTGCTGTGGCGTGGAGGTCTCTGGGTTGCAGCCAGGAAGAAGGCAGCGGGATGAGAGACTGGGCTTCCAGAGACAGATGGTTTGTTGAACTCTCTCAAGTTGAATGTTTTCAAAGCTTAAAGCTCAGCTCTAGGAAGGTGTCCACTTCCAAGAGTCTTTCTTTGTCCCTCCAAAGCATCTCTAGGCCCATCAACTTTTGCATTGCCTTGTGCTTTAGCGTTCAGGGGGCTGGGAGCACAGAGAGACTCCTCCATGGCCTCTCAGGTTGGCTGTGCATGAGAGCCACAGGAGGATTTTGGAATCACTGTTAACTTTCTTCCAAACCATTAGACTGCATAGAATGCCAGTGGTTTTTATTTAGGAAATAGCACCCCCCCAAAAAAAAAAAAAGTTCCATGATGAAACCTTGTTTAAGACTGTAACAAAATGAAAATTAGCACTGACAACATGCCAGGAAATCAAACAAGGAGAAGAAACTGTTTTTTTCCTTCTTGTTACAAGGGTTTCATTACCCTCCCTCCAAATGTTGAGTGTTTTAGGTCTGGAGACAGCATTTTCAGTTAAGGATTCAGAGCCACTAAACAGACTTTTTGGTCTGCATTGGGGGCTCTGTCCTTGGTGCTCAGAGCTGTCCCAGTTTCGGTTTGAATTGGGAGTCCCCTGGTGTGAGGATGTAACTATGCAACCTGGTATTTGACTGGCCTGCCAAGCCAAACCCTCCTTCCTTGATGTGAGTGTCACAAGATCTTCAGGAACCCAGGGCACCACTCAGCTTTGAGATTTGTGTGGAACAAGACAGCCCTCCTGGCTCCCAGCAATGCATTCAGAAATTCAGGCCTGACGTGGAGGGGAGAGTTTAATCCAGGTCAGAAGTAGGACCCCAGCCAGCAAATGGAATGGGATGGGGGGACCCTTTACGGTTAATAGGTTCCCCAACTGGTTATTTGATGGGCACAACCCCTGCTGTGATATACAGACAAGATGGAGCTGAGATAGGGAGAGATTTCTCTGTTCACCTTCCTTTCAAGGCTCTGGCAGGCAAAACAATATCCTGTTCCCAAAGATGTCCATGTGCTAATCTTCCCAAACCTATGAATGTGTCTTGCTACATAACCCAG